AAATAGGATGATCACACTCAGTAGATTATGAGCTTTGCAATGATATCTTACAAGAGACCTTTTGCACGAAGCATATCCCAGTTGCATTATATTCACTTATCATCAAATCTTTATAAAACTATCCCAGTTACATTATATTCACTTATTATCATGTTTTTATAAAACCATATAGACTGCACAACATCACAGCGACAATCAATCCCCGAATCGACGCGCGTACTCCACCAGTGCAGGTAGGAGTAAGCGCCGTCGACGGGGGAGCCACGGCGGTCGATTTGCCGTCATCCTCACAGCGGAGTAAGTCGGCTCGGATACGTCGAACTTAAATCGATTCCCCCCCCCTCCCAGTGTAGACCTAGCCTAAGACTCCCTCCCTCCCTCATGCTTAAATAAAGCTATTTTCCTGCAGTCTGAATGTTGGTAAATATTACCTTGAGGCCACCCACATCTGCTGTTTGGGTTTAGGCATTAGAAAAGCATTCAGTCTGGCTGGTCATTAACTTTGTACAGAATAAGCGACTTTAGAAAGCAGAACCTTATCAAGGCAGATTATCAAAAAGGCCTTTAAATCTGTACTTATAATTTTTCATGTTGATGACATTGGACATGAACATTTTGGGTGCCAAAATATTCAGAATAACAAGATCAGTGTGTATACACACTTGCTATTTTCACATACAGCGCTGAGGTTAGATATGTCAGAAAACACGAACACCCAAAACTGGAGGTCTGAACGTGTAAGCCGGGTTGAGGACACTTTCAAAACCAGGACCAGACGTGTGTTCTCATCGCATCATTCTCCTTTCTGTCTGTGCTCAGGGTATGAGAAAAAAGCTGCAATGTAAAAAAAACAACCAACTGGGAGGTTACTGATTAAAAGCCAAGAATACAAGACAGGAACAACTGTTAGGCTACGCAATTGCTGAAGATAATTAAAGGTGAGCTAAAGTTCCCTAGGTCACATATAGTACAATGTGTTCTCAGTGCAGAGCCAAGCAAGCCATCTGATTGTTGAATTAGATTTATGCAGTGAAAATGCCAATTGTTTGCAAATGTCCTGATTTGAAAAAGGAAAGGTTCAAACCTTATTTTACTGAGAGATTTAAGTGGGCTGCAGTTACAGGCAGCCTTGCAACGCATATAAATGTCTACGTGTAAGTCCATTACATTGTGTTACATTTTTATGTCATTCAGTCTCTTAGAGAAGGGGAGAACGTAAGGCCTAGTCTTAAAAGGTGCTGAGCTGCCTCATTCCCCAGGAACACTCAGCATCTTGCAGAAATGTGCCCTTAATTTGCCTGCAAAGTATTTCTTCAAAGAGTTTTAAAATGGCAAAACAAAGTTATCCAATACTCTAATAGGAATGACACAGTTAAGCTCCCCTTGCTGACTTATCTGTGCTGTAACTATGAAATAAAGCACGTGAACATATGGGATCTCAGGCAGGGGAATCGGGTACTTGCTATGTAACCCTCACAAATCAGTTCATTTCTCTCTCTCTCTCTCTCTCTCTTTTTTTTTTAATTTTCAATAGCATCTGAAGCAAGCTGAGTTGAACAGCAAGTAAACAAATGAACAGAACACTCCACCCTTCCTCTTATTTGAATGCTGTGCAGTTAATTGAGAATGTGATCGACCAGTCCTTCCCTTGCTGCCAGGGCAAACTCTTGTAAATTTACGTCGCCAGTCTTCTACAGAGCAACAGCAGCACTTGCCCTTCCGCTTGCCGTTTGTTTGGACAGCCAGTGGCACTGCTCAGGGAGACAGTAAGACATAATGGATCTGAATCTCACATCTGCGTGGTATGAGTGGGTGTTCTGCTGTGTACACTGTTGTATCGTGGGAGGACGGGGTATCACTGCCATTTTGGTTGCTGCAGTAACTCCACTATGACACAAAAAATCCCTTCCCAGTCAGTACACAAAGAGGAATATGAAGAAGGTGATTTGCAGTCCCTGCTATATTGTGCTGTTTGTTGTAATAACAGGATAAGTAACAGGCAGGAAAAGATGGAGTTGAGGGTTTCCCCACCCCTGCGTCTATTTATCCCTCTTGACCTCTGAGCATCACCTTTCAGGCAGCCAGCTCACAGCATCTGTGAGCTGGAGTTCTTTGTTCCTTTTCCCTAGACCAAAATTATCCACCTTTTCAAAACACAATTGGTGAGATATTTAGTTAGTGTAAATCAGCATGGATCGATTGACTTCAGTGCTCTGCAGAACTCTGGTGACTTGCATTGACTTCAATAGAGCTAGCCAATTTACACCAGCTGAGAATCTGCTCCCATACCACTAACTCTTTTAAACCTGTACATGTAACCTCAGTTCTTCATTCAGTTCTTCCTAAGGCACAACTCCAGTTGAAGTCCATCAACTTTGCTCAAGTAAGGGCTGTTGTACGCTAGAAAATTCAAAGTCCAAATTACAAACTCTTGGCAGATGAGATTCACCTAAGGAGAGTTCCGGGGAAACAAAATGTCATTGCTCTGTTGGATGGGGGCAGAGGGGGGGAGGGGGACGCGAGGAGGAGAAGGAATCATTGCATTGGCTGAAAGTGTAAACTGTCTGCTAAGACTTTATATGAAGAACTGGTGTGGGGTGAATCAGGCCTGAAGCACTGTCTTGTGCAATAGCCAGTCAGCAGGAAGAACATACTGTCATTGCCCTGGGAACACCCTCAAGTAGCATCTTACCCACTTCGCTACAGTTGGAACACACCCAAAGGAGCAGTGCACATAGGGACCTATGCACATGTTGACTGTCTTCCCATTTCATTGTGCAGGCGGCAGCACAGGAACGCCGTCTGAGTACTCTACAGGATGTGGTGTACATTGGAGTAATAGTCAGGCTGAAGTGCTGCTGTCTTGACTACCTTTTCTATTAAGATAACAAATAAAAATGTGTTGAAGAACTGGAAAATATTGGATCAGAAGATTTGGCCTGTTTCTCAGCAAGTGGTTATGTTCCCTTGAGTGTGATTCACAGAACCCAAACTTCCTGCACTCGTCTCATGGACTGTTAGCTGCAAACGTTTAGTCTTCCTTTAGTACAAGGACAATTTCAGTTAAATACAGAATACTGACAATACCAGTCATAATTGATTACAAGATTTCTTAGATTTTCAGAGACATTTTGAAAGCATTGCATGGGGGGAGTTTGATCACATGATTACTATTCCTATCAATGGTAAATGACACCTAAATATCTCATGGCCCTTGCACCTTATATCTCAGCTTTCATGAGAAAATGGAGGAACTTTGGGAAAGTCAGCAGCTGTCGGTAAAATGGAACTGTTCTTCAGCATAGTCTATCCTGCTAGATTACATAATGGGAATAACAAAATCACATCATGCTATATTTTTAGAAATAGCAAGCACCTTTCACCACTTTTCTGTTAAATTTTTATCAATTTCCAATCATATACCTATAGTAAAGTAAAGCAGGAAAGTGTTACAGGAGTGAGAAACATTAGAAACTTCCAAGAAAAAAAGAACTCAACAAGAAGTCCACTAAAATGATGGGGTTTAAATTAGCTGCTAACACTCAAGACAGAGACCTTGGATTCATTGAACAGATGTTCTCAGAGAGCTATCCACAATGTGCAGCGGCAGTCAAAAAAGCTAACAGCATGTTAGGAACCATTAGGAAACGGATAGATAATAAGACAGAAAATAATATGATGCCACTATATAAATCCATGGTATGCCCACACCTTGAATACTGTATAGACTTCTGGTCACCCCATCTTAAAAAAGATATCTTAGAATTGGAAAAGGTACAGAGAAAGGAACAAAAATGAATACAGGTATGGAACAGCTTCCATTTGAGGAGAGACAACTAAGATGGAATATCATAGAGGTCTATAAAACCATGAATGGTGTGGAGAAAGTGAATAAGGAAGCATTATTTACCCCTACATGTAACACAAGAAGCAGGGGTCAATAGAGAAGCATTATTTACACATCACACAATACAAAAACCAAGGGCCACCCAATGAAATTAATAGACAGCAGGTTTAAAACAAACATAAGGAAGTACTACTTCACCCAGTGCACAGTCAACCTGTGGAACTCTTTGCCAGGGGATGTTGTGAAGGTCAGAACTATAATAGGGATCAAAAAAGAATTAGTTAAGTTCATGGAGGATAGATACATCAATGACTCTTAGCCAGGATGATCAGGAATGCTACCCCATGCTCTGGGTGTCCCTAAATCTCTGACTGCCAGAAGCTGGGGATGGATCACTCAGTAATTGCCCTGTTCTGTTCATTTCCAGTGAAGAATCTGGCACCAGCCACTCTCAGAAGACAGGATACTGGGCTAGATGGACCATTGATCTGACCCAGTATGTCCATTCTTATTTTCTAAAACACTATAGGGGCAAATGGGGTGGGTGGGGGGGATTCCTTGGGATTCAAAGCCAAGGTCAAAGAGTGCTCACGTTGCATCTCGGCATATAAAATACCAGATACACAAGCATGCCATTGACTATCAAATATGTCATCTGTTCTAAACAAACAAACTGTTCAAAGAATTATCCAAACAGGTTTAGCCTCATCAGGATCTACATCATCATCAATTGCATGGTGGTCTTTGGCTTAATAAGATTACTTTATTGTGATGGCAGCCCCTCTCCGCCTCTTTTTTTAAAATCCTTGTCGTTAAGAGGAATTCACATCCCCGACGTGCTGCTCTGGCTACACTGTGCTCAGTGTAGGACCCGGGAACATTAATGTCACCTTTGCATTCCCATTACCCCAAAACCAGCTGGAGGCTGGTCCAGCCCCTGGTTTAATTCAGTATATCCTGAATGTTTAAATTAGAGGAGTTGTGAGGTCATTTCAGCAGCCAGGGATTATCAGGCTTATGGATGTCCTGCCAGGGTCCCTTTTCCCCAGGGACCATGTAAGGAAGTGGTGTGAAATTGCTATAGAAGTCCTACAGCACCCAAGGGGAATCCTCGGTGGGCCCTTAAATTGCAGCTTTGACTACTTTGCAAATATTAGACCTACATTTCCAGATGGATTCAGACTGCTCCTGTATCTGGTAACAACAGATGAGGCACAATGCTGTTCTCCTACAAAAAAACTGCATTAGAAGTGAACTGCAAAGGAAAAAATCTGTTAGCGGTGTGAAGCATTGTCTGAATTAGAGAAATTTACTGGTTTTGTTCCTTGTAGAATGCTTGTAAAGCACTTTGTATCAACAGCCAAAAGTGCTCCCAACACTTAATCTGCATGCCAGATATTGGTATAGTTTGGCTTAAAAGCTGTTTCAATCTCAACTGTTTCAGTTTGGGTACAGATGAAGGTGAGTAGGGTGATAGCATAGGTAATTCAAATAATTCCCCTATTGCAGTCCCATGGTGAACCTGCGGCCATTCAGAATCTACTGCTCTTGGGAGCCGTGGTAGGACAGGTACCAGTGCAATAAAAATGTTGTAGCATGAAGAGCAAAACAGCAACGATTCAGATCACAAATCAGCATGGCAAAGGAGCCACAAGGTACCCCTTAATACTTAAACCAGTTTTATCACACAGTCCACTAGTGAAGGGATCAATTCCTTAATGCAGACATGGTCTAAGAATCATCAAACTTTTCCCTCACTCCTTTACTGAGGACTGGTAAAGTAATAAGTGTTTGCTTGTGATCTCAATATTCCCTCAGTCCTCCAAAGAGTTCTCCAGCAAAAATAAGTAAGTCCAGAAAGACCTGATATTTATAATAATAGAAAAAATAGCAGAAGATTAAAAAAAACCATTCTGAGGATGCCTTTATATTTCCTAAAGGAGAAGTAAATGGTAGATTTTTCCTTTGCAGTTCACCTTGAAGATATGCAGGAAAAATTGTTGTAGTATGAGTCACTTTCTTTATCTCTGCAAACTCTGTTCCTTTATTTCTGCTGCAAACATTTGCTAACTATAAATAAAATAAATGTATTGATGCATGGGAAGGTCTGAGTTTGGAGAGTTTGTTCTCAGCAGCCAAATACAGGTTGCAGCTGGCAGTTAGGTGAGTGCCCATAATATGTTGATAAGCTTCTTTCTTTAAAAATGTACTTTGTACTTTCAGATAACACGAGTGAAACAAAATCTGGCTCGTGATAATTCAATTACTACTTTTGTTGTTTTTTTATTAACAAATTGAATAATCCCATCATAATGAGACAGAGCATCCCACAGCTCCCTCCTATGTAGTTCTAGCACCTGCCTCTGAAGCATCTGGTGCTGGCCACTGTCAAAGACAGGATCCTGGACTGGATGGGCCTCAGGTCTGATCCAGTCTGGCAGTTCCTAGGTTGCTATTCAATTGTTTCCACATAGCTTAAACAAAAGCACCTTTGCTCAAGATATATTTTGAGGTGAATCTGTTTCCTAATAAATAGTCACTTATACTAAACATCTGCCCCCTCCCCCACCCCGTCCAATTTGTATTGACTTTGCCTCATTCTTGGATTATAAAGAAACCTAAAATGTATGATTAATAACATACAGCTCTTTATTTTTTCAAGTAAAATGCATAGGAGCTCCATGGAAATGAGCATATTATGGAGCAGGGGATTAGTTTTTCAAGCACACTCTGATATTGCAATTTTGTGTGCATGACATAAGTTTTAATTCTTTATTTATTTTATAGAGCATGGACTAAATTTTCTACTGCATCCTGAATGCGCTTAGCACAGCAGAGGAGGGGCCGATGAATGAGCCAGTTGCAGTTTAGAGCAGTGTGGGAACTGTTCTAAACTGTACCAGCTGGGTATGGTCCCCTAGGGCCCATATGCTAGCTGGGAATAGTCAGAGCGTGCTTGGCCTTGGTTTTGCTTACACTACTGGTCAGCGGTGGCTCCAGGCACCAGCGCTCCAAGCTCCCTGCTGGTCCCTGTGAGGGCGGCAGTCAGGCTGCCTTCGGCAGCATGCCTGCGGGAGGTCCACCGGTCCCGCGGATTCGGTGGCAATTCGGCGGTGGGTACACCGAAGCTGCGGGACCAGCGGACCTCCCGCAGGCATGCCGTTGAAGGCAGCCTGCCTGCCGTGCTTGGGGCGGCAAAAAAGCTAGAGCTGCCCCTGCTACTGGTGTATAAGTAAGGACAGAGTCTAGCTATATGATTTAGATGAGTTTTTATTACTAGATCCCACATTGCAGAAATGAACTACAGCCTAGTGCCGTTCAATATTAGATCTCCGCCACCTGTTAGACAGTCAAATAATGGGACTCCATTAAGTTTCAGTACATCTCAATTTCCATCATCACTGGGTTCCTGCAATGCTGTAAGACTAGAACTAGAGAGTGGCACATACAGTATGTTTCTTGGGCTTCACATGCTGTAAATCACGTATAAATTAATCTGCACTCAAAAACCAATGAAACCCCACTTTGTCCTTCTCCTTCCTTCCATGAAGTTGGGATTCAATGGGTGGGACTTGCCCAGGCAAGGAAAGAGCAGAGTCAGAGCATGACCTCTCTGTGCAGCATTATCCCCTAGGAAAACACTACAATATAGGTAGAAATTCATGCTGGGTGTAGAGGCATTGAGTTACACAGAGCTTTCTACTCATCATGATTTTGGTTGCCCGGAGATAGTCTGGCAGGACAGTTATATGCTTGCACAGATAGGTTCCCCAGAGATCCACAGGCCGCTGCAGATCCCCTCAGAGGAGTTGTAGCAGGACTGCACTCCACACTACTCCTATATTCTTTGTGGTGACTGACAGCCACCTTAAATCCTTGGCATACTTCAGGGCCAGCAAGTCACTCCCCTTTAGCGTCTGGTGCCTGCGTTTTGTATAGCTGCAAAGAAACATTCACATTCATTTTTTTTTCCCCTGTGAACTTTATCTTTGGGAGGAAACAACAGGGCCCCAGGACTCTTAGAGTCTGATTTTTTTTCTACAGAGGCGCTAAACAATCCAGCGCCCATTG